CAGTGGAGTTTTTCATGTCCTGGAAATCTATTTGCATCTGTTTTATGGATTCCATTTGGTTCTTATGTTGGGATTCCATCATGTTCCTGAGCTCCTCTCTCGATTTATTAATCATGTCTTGCACTAGGGGCACAATTTCCTCTGTTATGTGAGAAATTATTTCTGATTTCATTTTTTCCAGATCCCCTTTTGTTGCCAATTCAGTGGGTCCAGGTGGTTGAGTATCAGAGTGTTCCATCGCATTTTCCTTTGGGGTTGCTGTAGGTGATCTGGAAGTCTGGTTTTGAGACTTATTTACTTGTTTTCTCATTTTGACTGTGGCGGGGGGCTGTTAGCACCTGCACGGATTACCTCCTCTGAGCTGGGAGAGGTGGGACAGGGGCCAGGAGCAGCAGTAGGGACAGTGACCCAAAAGCCCTTTCCTGTGGGCTGGGGGCAGCGGAAGGGATGGTGACCAGGAAGCCCCTTTCTCTGGACCAGGAGCAGTGGGATGGCAGCTCAAAAGCCCCTACCTCTGGGCCGGGAGCAGTGGGAGGGATGGTGGCCCGGAAGCCCCTTCCTCTGGGCCAAGAGCAGCAGGACAGAAGGTGGCCCAAAAGCCCTTTCCTCTGGGCTGGGAGCAGCGGGAGTGATGGTGACCGGGAAGCCCCTTCCTCTGGACCAGGAGGAGTGGGACGGCAGCTCAGAAGCCCCTACCTCTGGGCTGGGAGCAGTGGGACTCAGTACCTTGGTCTGGTGGTCTGGTGTCCTCTGCATCTTTGTAGTGTGGAACCAGGTGGGTGCCTGTGTGCAGTGGGTTGATTAGCCATCTTCCGCATGACTGGGGACCTCAGTAGGATGTGCACAGACCTGCCTGTTTGTAGCAGGCTGATTCGGTGTGTTCTGTGCGACTCAGGACCTCAGTAGGGCATGCAGAGACCTGCTTGTCTGCAGCGGGCTGATTCGGCCTGTTCTGTTCGACTCAGGACCTCGGTAGGGTGTGCACAGACCTGCCTGTCTGCAGCAGTCTGATTCGGCATGTTCTGTGTGACTCAGGACCTCAGTAGCCCTATGGAATTTTTTAAAATACAGATGCTTCCACAGCATATTCTTGTTTAAAACCTATTTAAAGCTTCACAATACTTTTGAGGTAGAGGGTTCTTTCCCTGGCTCCTGCCTACTTCAGATTCATTTTGGATCTTCTCACTCCCTTTACATCTGATACACAGGGCCTTGAAGTTCTCTTCTTTGCCCCATTTCAGCATTCTCACTATCACCCTGTTTTTTTTCTGTCTGTCACTCTTTACTCGTTAATTATGTTTGGTTGAATGTAGTTTCCTTAAGGAAGCCTGGGTTAGGATCTTCTATTAAACAGTTAGATGGTGACTGCTCATTTTCTTTTTAGCTCACATTATACTTTTAATTGCTAGTACAATCTTTGGTTTTCTTTTTGATGGACTCTAAAAAGTTCCATGAGGACCAATGATTGGTCTTGAATCGCAAAAACCAGGCCACTCCCTGACAGATAATAGTGAACACTCAGTACCTATTGATAAATACACATACACATTTATATAAAACTGTAAATATGCACAGATCATTTTTGGGGTGTATTACGTAGAGTTTTTATGAAAATATGCACTTGAGTAAGATTTGTCAATGATATATTTAGAAATTATATTAGAAATTACTGGTAATTGTATTCTGTTTTGTTTAGTATCCACTATTGTTCAAAATATACCACATCAGACACTGATCTGGTTCAGAGCTGTTGTGTTCCCTCTTGTATACCTTGTCCTCTGACCCAGGTACTGTTCATCACTCCTATTCAAGGTAAGGAATCTGCTGCAATGAAAGCTGACCTCCTGAGGGCCAGGAATATGAAAAGGTACATTAACCAGCTGACTGTGGCAAAGAAGCAGTGTGAGAAGAGAATCAGAATCCTGGGAGGTCCTGCCTATGACCAGCAGGAGGATGGGGCCTTGGATGAGAGGGAAGGGCCTCAAAGCCAGAAGGTAGAACTTTGTAGTTTCTTCTTTTCACCATTTCAACCAACTTTATTATACGTATTGATATAACCATATATGCAGTCTTTTACCTTTAGTATGTAACTTAAGATGTATGTTCAATAATTACTGACTCACACACTTGGCTTATATGAGTCAGAGCCATATTAGTTGATATCCTTGACTTCTGTGAATGGTAATAAGTATGATAGGTAGTGTGAGGTGTGTGTGCATGCATGTGTGTTTTTCATCTCTCTTTTTTGTTCTTCAGTCCCAGAGAAGCATGTTTACATTTGCAAAGGTCCAGTTAAACCACTCCTTATCAATTGTATAGAAATTACCACTTGCAAAGTAAAAGTTATCTTGCAAGTTATTTTACTTAACTCTTGCTACATTGCTATGAGATATCTACTTGATGTCCTTACTTTCAGATAATGGGATGGTGCCTAAGGATGAGACAAAGCTAGATAACAACGCAGATGTGAATGATTCACAAATCTTGAGTGCATTCTCACTAAGCCATAATATACTGATGACTGTTTTTGTACTGTAAAAGTTTGTACTGTCTGTTGATACTGAGTCTTTAATCACAGAGCCTAGGAACATGTCCTAACCTGACCTTAGCACTTGTCTTAAGGACCAAGTTTGTTTTCTAAGACCTGGAGCATGCTAGGATTAAAAGAAACAATCCCAGTACACCCTGAGGTTCGAGCCTGGCTGTACCACTTTGAGAACTCTAAGGCAAATGCCAAATTCCTCTTCTGTATGTATCATTTAGCCGCAAAGAAGCCAACATCAACATAATACTTTAACCTTGGCTATATCCTGTGACCTTTACTGTTCTGGTTTTTAGTCTCTTGATCTTTTCTTATTCACCTCTTAACTTGAGTTCAGATGGTTATCTGTGATTTTCCCTTGCCTCCTGTGAGCTTTTACCTTTTCACCTTTTCCTGTCCTCATCTCTATTAGAACTTCTTCAGGAAGGTTTCTGCCCCATCCTTGTACCAACCCCAACACAGGCCAGAGTTCTGCAGTGTCTTACACAGGTGCCATTCATGCAGCCCCAAGGAAACTTTGTTTTATAGAGGGTTGCCATCCTCTCTATAAGTCCATTGATTTTGCACTTAGCAACTGTGCCTTTCTGAGATGTTGGCCTTGTGACCCATGTGAAAACTTCATCCTTGGTGAATCCTAGAGACAGATCCTTGCCAGGTGAAATATTGCCCCTCTTACTCCTTTTCCTCTGCTTTTGGCCTCTTACATAATTATCTACCCACACTTATCATAAATGAGGTCTTTATTTTATTCCCATTCATTCAGCAGACTTTTATTGAAGATCTATGATCTCTTGGGTAAAGTGCTAGGTACTAGGATACAAAATGAACAAGATAGAATTCCTACTCTGAAAGAGTTCTATATAATTAAAAAATAAATAGATAAGCGATCCAGTAGAGATATGAGATATATACCTAGGAGGTACCTAATGACTTTCAAGTAGTCAAAACATGATATGCTTTAGATGTTATGGTATAGAAAATCCTTGGGATCAAGGGAGCTCATTCTAGGAGAACTGATGTGACTTCAGTACAGAACAATATTACAGTGTCTCTTAGAACCAGATAGTTCAATGCCAGCCGTATTTTTGATTCGTTCTTTCTAGATAGCCAGGAAAGGAGAAATCCATTATTGTAGCATCAGTTTGTCCTCAGAATAAAACCATTTCCTCTAGTTGTCAGCTGGAAGCCTCAGATAGTATTACAGAATTATAATATTTATGGTGGTTTACTGTTCTTCAGGTAAGGCTTTGATTAGTTGGAACAATTCTGATTGTCTTAATATGTTAGTGAAGAACTTTTGCTATGACCCAGTTATTATCTTATCCAGAAGATCATCGAGAAGAAAAAAAAATCTACAGTTATAGTTGAGGATGTTAACAGCCTTATTTTCAGTAATTGAATATCAGAAAGATATAGAAGACTTAAACAGGATTATCAACCAACTAGAGAGCTAATGGACATTTATAGAATACTCAACCTAACAACACCAAGAATATACCTTTTTCTCACCTGTACTGGAACAGTTGCCAAAACTTCATTGCTGGAGCACTCAGGAGGCCGAGGCAGGAGCATTGCTGTGAGTTTGAGGCCAGCCTGAGCTACACAGTGAGTGCAAGGCCAGCCTGAACTATATAGCAAGACCCTGTCTCAAAAAGAAAAAAAAAAAGGAAAACAAAAACTACATTGCTGGTACTAAAATAAGTCCCAACAAATTTAAAGGGATTAAAACTATGCAGAATTTGTTCCCTCTGACCACAATAGAATGATATTAGAAACCAGTAATAGAGATGTGGAAAAGTCCCAGATATTTGTATATATGAACAACATATTTAAATAAGCCTTCAGGCAAAAAAGAAATCATAAGAGAAATTAGGACCTTTTTTTTTTTTTTTGGTACCAGGGATTGAATTTGAGATCTTGTGCTTGTGAGGCAGGCGGTGGAACCACAGAGCTAAATCCCTGGTCCATAGGAACTATTTTGAGTGGAATGAAAGTGAAAATACAATATATCAGTATCTGTGGGATCCAGTTAAAGCAGCACTTAGTGGGAAATACATACTTTTTAATGTTTATATTAGAAAAAGTAAGCTCTGAAATTAGTGCTCTAAACTTGAGGCTACAAATTAATATTGAGGCAACTAGAAGGAAGGAAAGAGAAAGTACCACTTACAATCTTAGCAAGAAGGGTTGGAATCTCACTATAGATGCTGCCTACAACTTTAAGACCATAAATTTGACAATAAAAATGGCAAATTCCTTAAAATGCACAAAACTCTGTATTACTAAAACTGATTTAAAAAGAAATAGAAAATCTATACCTCTAGATGTACTAAAGAAAACCAGTTATTATTTAAAATCTTCCCACAAGGGAAACTGCAGGTCCACATCATTTCACTGATAAATTTTTATTAAATATTTAATGAAAAGATAATAGCAGTTTGTCGTAGTAGTTGTTCTAGGGGTTGAGCCCAGGGCCTTGTGGATGCTAAGCATGTGCTCTACCAATGAGCTTCACCCCCAGTCAGTAATACCAGTGTTAACCACGCTCTCTCAACTCTGGTTGAGACCCACTGCTAATTCATATTTACTCAACTGGAAAGTTCTAATTTTTGACAGTGCCACTGCCTTCTCTTTCTTCACCGAAGTCCTTGTTCAGACTCTTCCTGATTAGGTTTTGTTGTTGCCTCTTGGGTTTCACAACACCTAAGCTCACAACAACCCATAAAGAAGGTAGTGTCTTCCCTGTTTTACCGATGATGTCCTAAAGCTGAGTGATGGAGTAACACAGCTCACAGGACTGAAAAGTAGCAGAGTTAGGCTTCAGATTTAGGTATGTCTAGCTCCAAAGCCTGCCTATGTTACTTTGTTTTCAATGCAGCATGCCTTTTTTTTTTTTTGCAAGGTTCTCTCCACCCATAAATGGCCTCAGAGTAAACAGAGGGAAGGAAGATTTTCAGAAAAAATAAAAAGTGGGCCAGGGATTTAGCTCAGTGGCTCCGCTGGCTGCCTCTTGCAAGAGCAAGGTCCCGAGTTTGATCCCCTGTACCAAAATAAAAAAGAAAGAAAGAAAAGAGAAAATGAAAATATAGGGGATTTGGATGTCAGTGACACTAAAGGTATGATCTTTCCTTCAAGGCCAACTTGCACTCTCTTTGTTTGATCCAAAGCCAATCCAAAACAAACACTAAATGCAGCCCAGGACTCTGTATCTGAGTATAAAGAGATTCTCTGTCTCTCTGTTCCTGGAATCGTTGTTGATAGAAGCTCCTTTTAAACTCTTTGGAGCATGTTGAGTTAGGATTTGTGCTTCACAGGTATGGTTTACACAAAAGAAAGGCAGATGTTCTGATGTCCAAAAGTTAGTAAGTAAACTAAATATTAGTGGTTTTGAAATATTTGTGGAAATTAATTGTTAATGGTCTGTATCAGTGGATGGCCATTTCTTTTAGTTACCAGTTATACGAAAATGCCTTCCCCTTTCTGCCCACAAAACAGATGAAGCAAGGTGGGTTTTTGTGTGTGTGGCATTATTATCCAAATATTTCTTTTTAAAATTTTTCAACAATTTTTTTTTTTGGTACCGGGGATTGAACTCTGGACTTTGCGCTTGTGAGGCAGGCAGCAGAACCACTGAGCTAAATCCCTGGGCCTCTTTTTAAAATTTTTAAAATTAAATTTTATCTTATTTTATCCCATTCTACCCTTCAAGCCCCCTCCTCCCCTATATACAAAAGCTTTGTTTCCATTTTTTGCATTTTTACTTTTATTTTGTTGCTTCCTTCCTTTCCCCCTCCCTTCTCCTTTGTTCCCCTTCCCATTTGAACACTTTTTTCCCATTTCTAGAGGTCCATTATACATCCCAGTCCTTATTTCCACATTCAGTTGTCATGTTGGCAACCAGAAAATTGCATGTACATAGAAAATGTGCACTTAATTTAGAAATGTCTTACTAGTAACACTTCAGAAAATTTTCTCATTCCTAATGTTAATTTTTAAAATCTCAACATACAAGGTTTTACTGACTTATATTTGACATCCTTTATTGGAGGAAGTTTTCATCACTGATTCCAACTTAAGTATATGGGCTTTAAATTCCTTCTAAATTAATTTGAGGCATTTTTTCCTTAAACAGTGAGAGTCATCTGCTTTTTCATACTTACTGTGCAGTCTGTGCTCAAGATTGTTCCTACTATATTTTCAGAGAAGTTGCCTTTTCTTTTTCTTTGAACACACAAAATAGTAAACGCAGGAATAATAGAATGGATTTTGGCACATCCATATTATGGAATATTAGGGCCAATGAAAAATGATGCTTACAAAAGACTCTTCAATGAGTGTGATATTGTAAACAAAAAGGATATAAAAATCGTCTGCATTTTCCTCAGCTATGTAACAATAGATGGAAAGCAAAAATGCCAAACCTTAAGCCTCTAGCTTCATTGTCTTTTTTACATTTCTCTCCAATTTTTCTGTTACTGGCAACTGTTGCTTTAGTGTAGAATACGCATCCCACGGGGCAGGGATTGTTATGTTTCATTTCCTTAACTGCCTAACACCAAGTATGCGTCAGATCTTTGTTGAATGAGTGAATGATTAATAGAGAATTAGTATCTTTAAAAATGTGTGCATTTTGAATATTCAGTAAGCTTTATTCCATTTAAAGTTTAGAAAATGGTAGAGGAGATACTTCATTTTACCATGAACACTATATCACCTTGGCTTTGAACTTAAAAATGTATTTTTCTCTGAATGGAGAAGTTAATTCATTGGAAGTTAAAGCAAACTTGTGTTTAAAATTTGATTTTTAAAAACATTTTTATTAAATTCCTTTAACAGATTCTTCAGTTTGAAGATATCTTGGCCAACACTTTGTTTCGAGAGCACTTTAGAATATACATGGAAAGGATGGACAAGAAAGTGCTGATTAGTTTTTGGGAATCTGTGGAACATTTAAAGAATGCTAACAAGGTATTGTCTATGGGCTCAAAAAAGTACAGATGAAAACTAATGTACTAGGCCATGTATCTTTCTCAATGAAGCTGTAAGGTAAATATACATTAAAAGATGATTTTAAACTAAAAATATTGTTGACTTTCTGTCTCAGTCCTTTATGGTGGACAAAATTACATTATGTTTTTGCAGAAGATGCTTTTGAATGTATAGTCAAGGGGAAAAAAGATACATAGATGTACCAAGAGATTGGATTTGGTTTCAGGTAGTTATTTTTTAATACAATATAAAAAGGTATGTACATATGTACATTGCTATTATAAGTTGGTCTTATCACCTATACCTCAGTGTCATAACCTTGCCATTTATTACATCCTAATATATATTTTTCTTCATATAAATTATATTTCATTTAAAATATGATTGAGTAAAGGAACATATGAAAAACATTTTTGGTTGCACATTCCTTTTATAATGAAGACCATAGCATTAAGCATAGTGCTTTGCACTTGTCAAGTTCTCAGTATATACTTAGGAATTATCTGGGCAAGGTGATTTGTTCCTATAGTCCTGTCTACTCTGGAGGCTGAGATACAAGGATCAGTTGAGCTTTGGAGTTTGATACCAGCTTAGGCAACATAATGAGACCCTGTCGGAAGAAAGAGAGAGGGAAGGAGGGGATTTATATATATATGTAACATTTCAAGAGGTTTATTAACATAAGCACAAAGAGCATTTAATTCATCTTATTTGCATATGAATGTTGCTAGAACTGAATGCAGATTTTAAATACATCATAAGTCATTAACTGCATTATTTAAGAAATTCAATCCAGTCTTGGAGTGTTTTTAAATCATACTTTTTCTTTTTCGGTACTGGGGATCAAACTCAGAACCTTGCTCTTGGGAGGCAGGTGGCAGAACCACTGAGCTAAATCCATCCCTAGCCCAGTATTTTTAAATCTTAAAAGCGCCTTTTACATCATTAATTTATAAACCACAGTTTACCTCATTTTACCCAGTATTGCATTTGCCAACTTTGTTACTTGTTTTAATTTACCAGGTTTGACTACAGATGACTTTTGGCTGCTCTTAAAAGAATGTCATAAAAAATTATCTAATGTTTTCCTAAGTTACTGAATAAATTTGAAAACTTTCAATAAAATAAGAGCATATAACTTACTCAAAATTGCTATATTAAAACCTAGCAACACTGACTAGTCATGTTCATTAAGTTATATATGTATTTTTTTACTAGTCTTGAAAATTTTATATACTATTTCTAGAGTTAATGAAATGCCTCTAGAAGAAATGTAAAATAATTTTTTATTTTTGGTACATGTTTGGGGTACATAGTGATACATGTTTGTAGTATATGATTATATACCTCATGGGGAGTTGGTACATACACACATATACGTGACTATCTTAATCCTCTTTGCATCCCCTCTCCCTCCCCCCACCTCAGGAAATGTAAATATTATGGCAATTACAAGAGATGTTTGTTTCTAAATTAGGCCAGTGATGATCCAAGTGTACTGCTTAAGTCTAACCCAGTGGTGATGAACCTATGGCACCTGTGTTGGTTTTCTTTTAAAACAAAAGATGTTAATATACGAGTTGTTTTTTCTAAATTAAAACCTCAGTATTCAGCTATAATTGCAGTGTTGGCATTTTGCAATAAATAAGTGGGTTTTGGGTTGCAGTTTGGGCACTTGTCTCTAAAAGGCTCACCATCATTGGTCTAAGCTCTCCAATATAATGGAATGTAATTATTGTCAAGAATATCTGTCTTGTTTTTTTTCCCAAATACACAATTATTATCTACTTCCTGGGGTAAAAAATTAAATGGGATGAGCACTTCTAATTACTTACATTAGATAGAAAGTCAAATAGATTTTAGTTGATACATTATATTTTTGTGGAATTGAGATTTATGGAAAAGAATCCATTGCAGGAAGAGAGCTATTCTCATTCTTTATTTTTCCTCTGGCATTTAAGGGAAATTACAGATATTAACTGTTAAATATAAACTATTTGCTTTAAGGAACCGTTTGTTTTTTTCAGGCAGTGACATTTAACTCTGAATGTGGACACAGAAGCCTAAATCCCACAGAGGACTGTTAACGGAGTATATCCTAAATCTTCCTTCCAGCTTCCATCAGTACAAAATGATTTCTCTCAGAAATGATATTCCTTACCTTTCTCTTTCTTCACCTTGCTGTTTTTCAGAATGAAATTCCACAATTAGTTGGTGAAATTTATCAAATTTTCTTTGTGGAAAGCAAAGAAATATCTGTGGAAAAATCACTTTACAAAGAAATCCAGCATTGTCTTGTAGGAAATAAAGACATTAAGGTGTTCTGCAAAATCCAGGAAGATGTATATGAGACCCTAAAGGACAGGTATTACCCTTCCTTTATTGTCAGCGACCTGTATGAAAAATTGATGATAAAAGAGGAAGATAAACGAGACTCACAGTTGATTTCTAACAAGGATGAAATGGTGAGTCACATTTAGTTTTCTGCTTTTTTCAGTGGATAAGATTTAAATATGATTAAGTTGGGTGCATGTTGTAGGAGCCAAATTTGATGCATACCTTCATTTAATACATGGGCCTTTACTAATAAACAGTTAAAATACCTTGTTGCTTCTGGTTTTGTGCACTTCTTCGCTTTTTTGTCCTTCCAACCTACTTGCTATCACTGTCACCAGTGAGTCAGAGATCTCTGGCTGTCTTAGACCCATTCCCAGTTTGACTCCTGAAAAATGAGAGCAGAAAATCTGTGAGTTGAGCCATTTTGTGGCTTAGACCTGGGAGAATTAGTAGGATTGTCCAGTATCCAGGCAGAAAAGGGATGGGGGCGGGGTGGGGGGGGTGAAGAGAGGAAGGAGATGTGAAAGGATTATAGGAAATTTAAGAAAATCAGATGAAATTAAAATGCTCCCAAAGAAATCTTGCTTTCATATCTTAGGTCTACTTTTCTTTTTCTTTTTCCTTTTTTTTTTTTTTTGGTACCGGGGATCGAACTCAGAACTTAAGGCTTGCGAGGCAGACAGTGGAACCACTGAGCTAAATCCCTGGACCTGAGCTTAAAATTTGTACATAGACTATAATTCATATTGAGAATGTTTTTCTTTTTGCCCCGTTCACAGTATCTCCAGCCAGGCAGAATCAAGTACTTGCTTTTAATGGTATTAGAAGTCAGTTTGGGGTCTCTGAACTGTTGTAAAATTGTATGATCTTCATTCAGACTTTTAAGTTTTATTGCTTTGTTCTTTACATTTGAAATCACTGTACTAATAACTCAATACTTATTGCATCTTATTTTTAAGATGGATCAGTTTGTTTAAACATGTTACCTTTTACTGTAAAAATTAAAAGTTATTGCAGCAAATGCTGTCAAAAAAAGGTTATTGAAATTAATAAAAAACATCAGTATCTAATAGATAGATTCAGTAAGGTCTTGAACTGACAGTTGATGTGAGAGAGAGTAGTAAACACACAAAAAAGTCTACCTTCACTCAGACTCAAAGAAGGCCAATATTTATTACTGACCTTTTGAAATCTATTGGTACCCTTTGTTCATATAATCCTTAGAAATGGGAACTTCTAGAAAAAGTTCTTAGAACTTCATTTTTTTTTTTTTTTTTTTTTTGGTACTGGGGATCGAACTCGGGACCTTGCGCTTGCTAGGCAGGTGGTGGAACTACTGAGCTAAATCCCCGGCCCAAGTTCTTAGAACTTCTATTAAAATGTAGAAAAACTTTTTACATGATGGAACTTGTTTTAGTATATTTGAGATAGCAAAGAGGCAGAATCAATCCATACCAGAAGCAGCAATATAAGTATACTTCTGAAGATTGTCAATGCAATGGAGTACAGTGCAGCTATAAAATTATAATTTTGAAGATTATATCATAAAGATATACTGCATCATATTATTTAGAAAAGGCGCAGAATATCCAGTAAATGAATACAAGGTGTAGAATTATGCCATAATGTATGTATGTATGTATGTATGTATGTATGTATGTATGTATTTATTTTCCGGTACCAGGGATCAAACTCAGGACCTTGCATTTGTGAGGCAGGCACAGCACCACTGAGCTAAATCCCCAGCCACAACCATAATATATATATTTATAGACAGTGAGTAGAAAGAACATATAGAAATGAATACAGCTTGTTTTCTGAAACTATCAGTATTTTTATTTTTCTTTAAAAGATGTAAATGTTGTTTGTTAATTTAAAAAAATAGAAGAAAAATATCTGGAGGAGAGGTAAGAAGTAAAGAAACCAGAAGATGATCCTGAGCAATTTATTTCAGTATTCTACATGTTGTTGGCTCCTCCTGACTAGCTAACATGCTATTTGGTAATATATCCAAATTTTTTCAAGTTACATAGTTCTTTGTGAATTTTAAGTCACTTTCAAGTGCTATTTTACTTATAGAATAGTCTACCTATTGATTTATACCAAGAGGAGAATTAAAGTACATACTGAAAATTCTTTTATAGTGAGAATTTGGAGCTTTTTGTAATATTGTTAAGGGACTAGAAAGAAGAAAGATCTGCTTTGTCAAAGATTATGTACTCAATATTCAGATTGAGTTGGGAAAAACTCATTGCCTTCTCTTGTTCCATGCAGATTCCTTGGATGTAACATTGGGACATAATGGCACGAAGTTTCTCCCCCTTTCTTTAGGTTATTAAATATTTAGCTTTTCTACAATTCCGGATGCTAATTACTTTGGTTTTAAATACTTTGATTTTTCTCTTTGCTACAACATAAAAAGGCACTTTGCTTCTAAGCGGTCTTCTGTAATATTCACTTACTAGAATCTAGTATTTGTTTTTTTAGAATCTAGTATTTTGAGGGCCAGGGATTTAGCTCAGTGGTTTGGCCACCTGCTGTGCAAGCTCAAGGACCCAAGTTCGATCCCCGATACCAAAAAAAAAGAATCTAGTATTTTGAAACAGTGTATTATAATGATGTGGAATCTATATAATAGTTTATAATTACTGATTTTTCTGTCATAAAATATGGTGGTATGTGACTTTCCTCCCAGGGCCCAGGAGGTGAGGCTGATGGGGAAGCTGGAGTTGAAGGTACCAGTGAGATTAATGAACAAGCCAGTTTTGCTGTGAACAAATTACGAGAACTAAATGAGAAACTTGAATACAAAAGGCAAGCTCTAAATTCTATTCAAAATGCACCAAAACCTGACAAGAAGGTAACTCTTTTGCTTTCAAGGTTGTCCCTGAAGGTTTGCATTTGTTTAATTTAATAAATAATAGTTTTCAGTTTATGTTGAGAAATGTCAGTTTAAAAAGAAGTTTAGTTATGAGCAAGTTCCACTCTTTTTTTTTTTTTTTTTTTTGCTTGTAGGGTAGAAATAGAAAAGCAGTTGTTTTTAATTCTTTATTATTTGGAGTTATTTCTCAGGTATCAACTGTGAATAAGTCTGCATTCTTCGATTCTGGTTTTCCTACATACCTTTGCGGAAGGGATTTAAGCTTTCTCTTGTGCCAATAAGTTACTACTGACAGACAATCTTTTGGAAAAATACTTTTTTTCTTTCAACTGTCCATTTGCAATTTAGAGAAACTCATAGCATTATGCCAAAAATAAATTGTTTTGCTAAAAGCCAACAGAATTTGAAAGTTTAAAAATATAAATAACATCTGTAATTGACATTTCTCAAATCCAAGCTGTAGTGTAGATTTTTGCTGTGTCTTTATGCCTATTTAGGGTAAAACAAAGAGGTTTCTCTAATATAGTTGTGGCTGACATTTCTTTGGTCTGCCGAATAGGTCTCCTTGGAGCTTTCTGAATGTGTTTTGACAGATTTAAGTGGGTCAACAGGAAAGCAACTTTGAATAAAACAATTTTAGTGAGTCACAATGGGTTTTCTTCCTTGCCACTTCTTTAGTGCTTTTTTCATGGGCATTCAAATGCTTTTATAATATTCCTGAAATAAAAAGCAAAGAAATAAATGTATCATGAGCCTGTTAGTAATTTATAGTCAAAATATCTATTCATTTGTAATCAGTTACTATTTAGTGAGGGTTTTTTTTCTTTTTCTTTTTCTTTTTTTTTTTTGGTACGGGGATCGAACTCAGGACCTTATGCTTGCAAGGCACGTGGTGGCACCACTGAGTTAAATCCACGGCCCTAGTGGGTTTTCTTTAATAAAGAAAAAACAAAGTCCAACAAAAGTTTATAATTTTTGTTAGTAATGTTTTTACAAAATTACAAGGGAAAAAGAAATTTAGTGTGAAAGTCGCTTTAGTAATCATTAGTGGTTGGGCCAGGGATTTAGCTCAGTGGCGCCATACCTACCTGGCAGGCGCAAGGCCCTGAGTTCAATTCTGGGTACCAAAGAAAAAACAATCATTAGTGGTACTCTGAGAAGGAAATACATAAATAGCCAGGCTTCCTGGATCATTGTAAGAAATTAGTCTCTTCCTTATATAGAGTCATTCTCAGTATGTAGACGACATGGAGAGCTCTGCAGTCTTCTCTTGACAAGAACATCTTTGAGATGATAAACAATCAGCTGGCATGGTAGATAAGCAATGTCTTCAGTATGGTGTGTTTTTCATGAACAGTTGTCTTATTTTGGATCCATCTCATTATAAATTAAAATGTATTAGTGGGGAATAGGATGAAAGATGAGATAGAAAATGTTCAATGAATTATTTTGTTTGGTTCATTATTTGATTGAAAGCTATTCTTTCTCCTTTCTTAAATGAACTTTAAATAACCATGGAGCAAATATTCAGAGCTATAATTATATGAAAAAATTCTCAGGAGATTTCGCTTAATTTGAAAGCTAATCTCTCATCAGAGCAAAGATAGTCCACATTGCCTATTAAATCAAATTGTTCATGGCTGCTCAACGAAGTGCTCTGCTTCTGGCAGTTGTGTATAGGGCTTCAAGGGCTCCACAGATGTAAGGGAGCTGGTACATCTCTCCAGAAGGGTGTGTCATTCTCCTTTTATCTCTTTTACTCATGTAAGTAACAATAAAATAATGTATCTAATAATTAATTTTGTAAAACCTAAGATTGATGTTGAAAAGATTTTGGTAATTTGGCAATTAACACACACCTAAAAAAAATTTTGTCCTAGAATTATTTCTCTGAATTTACTATCTAATTATGGATCAGATCATTTTCCCATGGATATAATGGTAGTGGTCTTCTTCCCCTCAAGGAAGCCAGAAGTTTGCTTAATCTTCCTACTTCTCTTATCTCTTCATCAGCCGTGCTATTAGCTACTAGATGTAAAGGTAGCCTTTTAGTTTGCTTTCCTGAATTCCAATGCCTGGGTTTTATTTTATTTTATTGCTCTAGAGAAATTTTGTGAATGTAGACCAGACAGTCCAAATCTAAGTTAATATTGGGAGCAAGTCACTGAATAGGAAGAATCTCAGCATCAGAAACAATGAGTAAATGTATGTTCTGTGCTAATCACTGTGAAGAATCAGTGAAACACAGAATGTGACACTAGCCCCCAATGAGCAGATTAAAATATATATGAAAATCAAATAGTCATGGCCCTTACTGATGATAAAATGCAGGACAACCGCACAGACAAGGGGTGCTTTCTGTAGGCCTTTTGACCAAGGAGAGAGACCTGGTAGACTCCGTATTGAGAGAGTCTCGGGGTGACGTTGCTGTCCTCAAATTACAGGTGTATAACCCTATAAGTTTTCTTATAAGAAAGCCAAGGAGATGGTGAGCATAGCATTTAAAAAATATGTTATTCTTTAAACTTGCAGTAAATATATATATATATATAACAAAACTTCCCATTTAAACCACTTTTAAGTGTATATAGTTCAGTGGCATTAAGAAGATTCACATTAGATTCCAGAAACTCAACAGAAGAACAAAGTTCTACAAGCAGTTACAGAAAAGAAACAAATCACATACAAAGGAAAGCCCATCAGAATCACAGCAGACTTC